AATCACTTTTTTTTGGCTCTTTAATTTGAACTTCTGGTAGAGTTGGCCTAAACTAAAATACAGGAAGAGACTGTTTTACAATAACGGGAACTGATTTAATGACACAATCTACTGTGTTTATTAAGATATTTTTATGGTGATGAATGAATGAAAATAAAATGCTGCATAACAAAATGCACTTAGAGTGTCTGAATTTGTTTGAGCATCTTATTTACTTCCTTGTGATTAAAAGCTGTCGAGGTATAGCTATAGCCTGTTTTACCTGTTTGTAAATTCAAATGAAACCATATGAAAATGACTGAATATCACTGGTGTAGAGAGCAGAGAGACTGGATTTCCTCCCCTGGTCTGCGCTGAACATTCACGGGGTTCACATGAAAATGTCAAACAGGGAGATTCTGTCTGTGAAACACTGAGGCGATGTATCCTGGCCATTGTTAACGTATATATATGTATTTCACTTTTTCACTTTTTATTTCAGTCTTTCTCTGCTGGAACTATTTTTAGGCAGGTCACCAGGTCTTCATCACTGATAATGCAGACAGTGTGGAAGTAAGAATATGGGTACATGTTGAGGACGGGGAAGCCCACCATTACACCTCCTGTGTATAAAAGCATAAAGTATCTAACAAACTGTTGAATTCAGAGGGCTTTCAGCGGGCATTTTCTTTTTGGAGTATACTTCCACCTTTAACCATGCACTCTGCACATTCATCTTAAACACATGCACATGCACGCATGCATGCACATTAATTGTTGCTCACATTCTCTTTCTCACTGTCTTTTTGTCAGGTAAGGATACATATAAATAGTGGTGATGATATCTAAGATGCCTTTGGGTTTAAATGGACACAAACAAAAACAAATAGTGCAGTTGGAAAGTCCAACCAATGTAAAAAAAAAAAGTATATAAAAGAAGTAGTGGGTAAAGGTATTTGAGTTATGGAAGTCATCATTTGAAGGCAAATAATCCCATAAACAGAGGAGTGTAATATTGTGGGGTTAAGCTAAAAAAAGAAGTTTTAAAAAACGTGTGAGCAGAAAGAGACATCTGGTCCTGGCTTCATTAAATCTTTAAAAGTTCAGCCTTAAGGTTATCATGTCAGAAATGTATGTTTACACTTACGTAGAATGGAAACAACATTTTGATTTATAAAAGACTGGATGAGGGACATACATATTCAGTGACCTAGCTTAGTATGGCTCCACTGAAATCATTCTTTACAGGCCAGATTGTTCCCGTGAGGGATCTCACTATAGCAAAAAGCCAGAAATGATCAGTTCCTAATGGGTCAGCAAGACGAGGAGAGTCCTGCTCTCCTGTCTCCTCTTTAACGTTGGGCTGAGGCCAACTGAGACATTACACGACTTCTGCAGTCTGGCACAAAAGCAGTAAACCTTTAATCTGAATTCTGTGAAGCTGGTATCAGTAACCCTGGGACAAAAACCAGAGTTACAATATTTGAATGCGCCATGGCCTTTCACATGTAAATTACACTCTGCCCCCCTAGCCGAAACAAATTACAGCCAACTGCTGGTGGCTGGATATGAATGGGCTTCCTAATGTAGTCTACATCTACAGTGGGCCAGGGAGCAGCTGGAAAAAAGAAACTGAGACGGAGGAGAATTTATGTGACAGAGCAGGGTGTGATAGTTTGCTTTATTTCATATTAAATCTACAATGCAGCCGTACTGTGACGAATGGGGCTTGGCTCTCTGAGCATCTGTCTCCAAGGACTCACTGAGGGGTAATTAGAGCTGTGGGATGATAAGGGATATTCTCCAGCCCGGCCCAGCCCAGCCCTATCAATGGTGGCACAAGGGTTGGGGCTTTACACAAATCTGTGTACAGGAGGGGGCAGGGTAGGGTGGAGCACTGGATGAAGGGCTGGATTTTTTGTAAATTACATCAGCTCAGGGTAAGAGTCATGGTTTGTGGGACCTGTCTGAGTTTTATATCACCAAGCCAATCTGCATGATGCTGCTTAATGCTTTTGGACTTATTTGGGGTGACAGCTATGAACAAAACTAGCTGGAGTGAGCTTGCAGCAATATACAATGTAGGTTCATTCATTTTTGTAGCTTTGGTTCTACTGATTAAACATGTGCTAAAACTAGGTCTGACCAGGTCATAAAACAAAGTTACTATGATTTCAATATATGACACACGTCCAGTTCACTGCTAATTGTGAAGTATTTGCATAAAAGAAGCAGTTATTCAGGTTCACCCAGAATGTAAAAAGTCTTTACATTTCATTGGCTGGTTGTTCAGTTGCAAGAATTATTTTTACACACCAGCAAAGCTTTACAAAAACAAAACTGGGGGGAAAAAAGAAGCTGCTTGTAGCCAAACTGTGAGAAAGACTTTATGTCATGTTTAGCACTAAACAAGTTAACCTATTGTAGCTGTGAGTCTGATTCTGAATTCTGATTTCTCTTCTTTGCATTTATGTTTAAGACAGTTTTTCAAATGTCCTCCAAACGAGACTCAGACCGATGTTATAAGGCCCAACATAACAGCAGAAATGTGTTTACAGTTTGGCCTTTTTTACAGGCTTAAAATTCGTTCTTAAAGTGTGCAATAATAGATGAGTGGCTGTTCTGACAAACACGCAGATGCTAGCAAAGATGACTGAAGCTGTGAGGCTTCTGATAGGCTTCTTCACTAACTATGGAATCGCTGAACTGGACCTTTTCAAGGTTTTGGTGTCTTTTAGTGCCTTTTGATGCAATGACCTGGCCAGATTTATTGTTTGCTATATCTTTAATTGCACATGAGTGCTCCACTTTTGGCTAGTGAAATTTTATTATTATATTTGGATGTTTATTTGTATATATTTTTGTCTGTGTGATGATCATCACATGCAGTTACAAGATCTATATGGATGCAAATCGCTAATAAAGCTTTATGTGTTAGCTTGCCAGAATTCCTGACTCCTAAAAATCATCATAGCAGTGGCCAAGATGCAAAAATGAGTTTTTTCTTTTGGACTTTTATGTATATTGTCTATGATTAAAACAAACTAATTGTTTAGAACCTGAATAATCAAAATCCTCACATTTGTTGCTTTGTTAGATTTTGTCAGTTTTATTACATTTTCAGACCTACAGTGTTAGAGACTGATAAGTGGGAAGCAGACATCTTTTTGCAGGAGCTTGGTTTATGCCACTACTGCTTTCCTCTGCTGCAATAGCTAAGGGCACGTGAGAAGACTTTTACTCAGGTAACAGGTGCTTAAATGTTCATGCTTACAGCCAGCAATCACACTAACCCTTCCCAAAAAGACTTAGGAACTCTTTATTGTACAACCCACTTGATGATTATTATGTTTACGTAAGCCATCAGGGTTTTTCCAAAGTGGTAATATTTATAACCAGATAAACGCAACGCTATATGGACAATGACTACAAACCTAACAATATATTTCTAGCTGTGACAGAGAGAAATAAATAAATAAAATATCAGCTTTCACACATTCAAACAAAAGATAAAAGAACATTCAAAACAATAAAGGAAAAATACAACTGGCCAGTGCACACGCATTCAAGAGCATAACCAAGGGAAGGACTCCATATTGTTGTATGCTGGGCTGCTTTTCATGATGGTGTGTTTTCTTGACGGTGTTCAATGTGCTCAGCTCACCTTGTTTTTTTAAATATATTTGTTCTTAAGTCGCTGCACTTCCAAATGGTTTACGTACTTAACTGTGTAAGATGAGAAAAGTTTAACTGGGTTTCTGTGAAGGGTAACCCAATAGTGCTCCAAAGTGTTTGGGAGCAATATGGAGGTAAGGAGAATAGCTTTAGGAATTTCACACGGGAGCAAGGGGGAGCTAGGATCTGAGGGGAAATCATCAGGGGCAAGAGTCGTCTGGAGCAAGTTTCCCAGCAGCCTTATTGCACTTAGATGATCTTTCCTCCAACAAGGGACAACGGATTCAAGATCATCTACTAGATGTGGTGCAATAACACCTTGGGCAAACCTATCCCAGACTGTTTAAACAGATAAAAACAGACAAAACACAGGAACAGCACATGACAAACATAGTGACACATAAAATACGCACAGACACAATACACAACACTGACACATCAAAGGCACGGGCAAAGGCAGGCAACCAGGCAAGACCACAACACTGACAGCACTTAACAGGAACATCACAGGACAGACATTCAGACTTTCTTCTAATACACAGATCGAAGCCATGCAAGGACGGAAAAGCATGCACACAAACTCACAGGACAAAGAGATCAACTCCAAAGCACATCCCCGCACTCTCGCTCTCACACACACCCACACGAACTTTAAACTAACCCTAAACACGAACACAGAATGACACAAGCATATTTTAGAAATCAGAAGAACCCACAGGAAAAATACTTGGACTGTTGTCTGTTATCTCTACTGTGAACTGTTGTGCAAAGTACTTTTTTTTCCATAGCAGGAAGCGCATACCTATTTGTAACTCGTATGAAGCATTTTAAAAGTACATCAAAGCTATATTTTCCCCGTGGACTCTTGTCTTGTAATATGCTGCTTGAGAACATTAATTTCAGAGAAATCACAGAGACGATATCCAGATTAATATCCACACAAATACACACTAAGGTTATATGTATTACGTTTAACTGAAAAGAAGGAACGCAAAAACAATAACAAACCAAATCAAATAAATTAGGAACAGCACGTTAGTACGATACGTCAAGCAAAGACAGGAACAAAGAAAAAGCTCCAGCCTGATCCCACGACACCTGACTGAATCAGCTCACATCACAACGGCAACACTAGAAAGTCAAAGGAATCAGAACTACAGTACCATAAAGCAACACATCACAAAAAGAAACAAGAGAGATAAAGATAAAAAACAACAACAACAGCAGAGCAACAACAGTGACACAAACTTTAAGTGACAGATACAACATTTGTCATAAATACATAATATATACATATAGATATAAAGAAAGAGGAAAAGCCAGATATACGTGTTGCAGATATTTACTTCATCATCATAGTGCCATACTCCTTGGCCATCCGGCATCTCAGAGCTCACACTACTGTCCTGATCGATTAGCCAGCGATGCACGGCGTGGGCCTAAAAGGACATACGACATAAAGACAGAGCCCGGTTAATCGCAGCAGTGAGAAGCAGAGATGGAGAGACAGAAAGGAAGAGGGAGGGTAGAGGAGGAGAAGCAGCACGGACAGAAAACAATGACAAGGAAATGATCAAAAGATTCAGGAGGAGGAACAGGTGAACATCAAATTGAGACACGGAGAGAAAACTAGGTGGAGCGAGAGGAGGACGAGGAAACCAACCCCACCCTGCCCCAACCTATCCCATCCCACCTTGCTTGTCAAACCCCACCCCAACCCCAGGAAAGAACTCCCCTGTGGGAAACAGGCCAGGTTACAATGAGTGGTATGAGCGAGATGTAGCACGACACGAGGTGGGAGGTAGGCAACACCGCTATGATGGCGATGGAGGTGGGTCTGGTGTTGGTGGTTTTTGGCTCACAGATGGATCGAGTGCGTCACTGTGGGAGAGCTGCAACTTACACACCGGAGTGAGTCGGGATTCCTTCATATCACACTTGTGCGAGTGGCACCGGGACAAAACTGCAGTGTACTTACCCTGAATGTTCATATAGAAATGCGTAACCACACAGAGTATGTGCCGTACAACACAACACCACAGGAAAAGACACCGAGCAATCTTAAGCACAGAAAGAAAAATAACATAAAGACACCAATGACAGTGTGAGTGCCTCCACATTAACACAGATACATCAGTAAATCCACAAAGGTGTGAAACAGCAAGAGTGGCTCAGCCAAAAGTAATTTAGGAAAACAGCCAACAAAACTGCATGAACTCTTGACCAGATAACCAGATAACATTTGGGTTTTTTTTCCAGGACAACTGTCTGCTCCTCTCAGAGAATCAAAGTACAATAAAAGAGACAGTGTCCCAAACTTCTCCAGACAGACAGATAGCGAGACGTCTGCTCAGACTCCTTCAGCTAACATTTAAATCAAGCACATACTGCAGCCGGTCTAGTCCCGGTCACCCTGAAACACACATACAGGATCTCATACGCATGCACCAAACCCCATCTGTTACCCTCGACTGTTGTCGTGTCAGCACCAAAAACAACCGAACACAGCTCCTTTCGCGAGGCTTGCTGCCCCATGTGGCAGAAATACTTGTCAAAATATGCAATGGGGTGAAATCGCAGAATGCAGGGATTAATTACCCTGTCATAGCTGCTACTGCACATTTACTATTTACTTTACGCAAGCAACTTTACAGTTTTTAAGATGCAGTGATGCAGGCTGTCATACCAATGGGCATTTAGCACATAAACTGTCGGCTGTCAGCATAAACTGTCCGGCTACTTTAATACTGAACGCAGAGAGGGAGAGTGAGGGTGTTACATAACCACATACGAGGGTACACACATCACAAAACACACTCCCGGGCGGCTGTCTTGTTTAAGCCTTCAACAAACCCATTTGACTTCCAAGAGATCTGTAGCCTAACCACGTAGACTGGCTCCTGCAAATCTCCCCCCAGTGCAAACTTGACTTTAAATACAAAATCAAAACACAGTCCAAATGTATTTTATACTGTAACTTGGTGTTAACCATGATTATAATTTAAACCCATATTCTAGCATGCGAAAAAATCCCTTTAAAGGATAAAACCTGTTTGTTTTTCCTCATGCGTCATATTTGTAAGGAATATTTGACACGAGAAGCAAACAGACACAGAGGGGTCAGGACCTTCTCCATCAGGTTTTGTGACTGCAATGACAGATACTGTTAAACACATAGCAGGGAAGAGGAGGGCACCACACAGGAATAGACAGAGCCAGCTCAAGGGTATAGTGAATCAAACGGTGACAGCAGAGGCCAAAGCCTCTGTTAGGACACCTGAAAATAGACAAAAACTAGCAGAAAAAGGCAGCCAGAAGGCACTGTAATTTTCGCTTTGCAGGAGCCAGCTATAAAATATAACTGCCGTATCGGGGCTTGGTCTCAGGCCGTACATGGGAAAGCAGGTGTGGAGGAGATTGCTTGCATATGTGTTAATGTCTGTGTGAGTGTGCATGTGTGGATTTGATGCACAGGGGCGTCAAGAGTTTGTGGTGAGTTACTGAGCGTGTCAGCTTAGAAGAATAATTGGATTAAGTAGCAGACGGCTAGTGATGACAGCGAGAGGGGAGTTGAAGGAGTTGAGGGGGAAGAAGAGGAGGAGTAGGGTAGACAGACTGAGGCAGAGGGGGGAGAGAGGTACTGATAAGTAAGTATAACAGGCCACTTGCTGTGGAGCCTCTGGGAGCCACGGGACAGTGAACAGACACGCAGAGGGAGCTCAAACCGTTACGCTGAAGATTAGAGCAATAAAGGAACAACACTCATAGTCTCTGAACAACTAACTAGCAGCCTCTCGGGATTTAGCATGCTTTACATCAAACTCCAAGACCAAAAGAAGACAACCGATTTGAGTCATGAAAGAGAAAGTAGATATTTATTTGCTTTCTATATGATAAAGAGTACCGGAGCAGAGTCGTTCTGGAGACTGTTACCCTTCCACATTTGCAGATTGTCCTCCACAGTGTCAGCTGGCGAGGCAGCACTGATCATACAATTTATGACCACAGCCAAAGGAAAAGGACTGTGAGTCCAAGAAAGCGTTGTATTAAAGAGAAGATAAGTATGGAAACCGTGAATCTACTCGTTAAATCCACAGACACCGCAAACATAATTCAAAATTCCCTTTATGATTGTTTTGTTTGTTACCAAAGGTGATTTGTAACTGTAGGTTACTGAGGTACAACGTCTTACAGTCAGATGACAAAATGACACCATTAAATGAACAAGACAAAGATATAGACTACATCTGCTAAACGATGCATCATGTAAGTCCATGAACAGCTGTTCATGGACTTACATGATGCAGATGATTACAATCAATCACAGATTGGTCCACTGCACTTCCAGTTACTTTCCCACACAGGCTCTTACAGAGTCACCATCTCGTAAACTGGAAGAGGTTTTAAATATACAACAATTCATAAAAAAATGTCAACTGTTTATGCAGTCGGATGACTGCTTAAGTGAACTGCACTGTCACTGTTTTTTGCTTCACCAACCAGTTAAGGCATCAGTCACGCAAGCCTACTGGTGACCGATCAGAGACACCATGGTAACCACCGGTTGCTAGGGGAAAGTTAATATCCGCTGACCAGTTGTTAGGTGAAACCAGTGGAAAAGTGGTATGTGGCGCTGCACCTAAAACCTCCTTGTGATTGCTTTGGCTGTTTGCTTTCATTGGCTGTAGTTTCTATGAAAGACGCCAACTTGTCTGCAAACATTTGCATACCACTTGCTAACTGGTAGTGAAAACTGTGAAGAGCACAGCACAGATTGGAAACTGAGACAGCTTACCTTCACGGTAAAAGCTGTGTGTTCTGAAACATTTTAAGAACAACTATCACTCTGAAGGTAAACGTTCTCCATCTCAGGTTTTCCCTAGCGACAGGAGGTTGAGATTTAAACCTTTGAATCAAATGAAATCACTTAAATTTTCACACAATCTGCAGATAAATTCTTGAGTTTAGCCCAAAAACCTGAATTGTGAAGTCACAGTGATAATAAAGCATGAATTCTTCTTGCACTTTTTAGTACAAGACGATACAAAAACGTGCTGTTTATTGCCCATGTTCAATTTTTTTTCACTCACATCTTGGTAACTGTGACTTCACAATGAGTCTTAATGATGAAAGTCTCAAAATAAAGAAAACCGAAGAAACATTTAACTCAAAGTTCAAAGATGAACTTTTCTTTAACTTCATGATCTCAATGGCTTGTGTACTAAAGCTTGGAAACAAAAACAGAAGCAAATTAATCATTATACTCGTAAAGAAAAAAAACAGGTTGCTTGTACTATAACGGCATTTTCTCAGATTCCCCGATTTAAAAAAAATAATGAAATCAAAATCAAGTCAAGGTCAAACATAAGCAGCCAGTCTCATTATTAGCATATTTGAAATGCTATATAACTGACTGAGCTTGTGTTCACTCAGCAGAGAAGTGGTGTGCACAAAGCTTTGCTCCATTTTAATAAGCATGCTACACATAAAGAGCTGCTCTCTGGTGCTCAGTGAATCTGCACAGCTTCAGTATCTCTTTATGAAAATAGTCCATATGAGAAAATTACCGACTCATTAGGAAGCAAGTACCTTTCTCAAAAGAGCTACTCATTGTTCCCGTTTGTTTTGGTCCTGAAGTGCAGCGGCTTCTCTCTTGATCGTCCACCTTCCTGCCCATTATCCCCGAGTACAGAATAAATGTCAAGTAATCAAGCTCTTAATGTCACAGGTCAAAGTAGGCCAAGAGTTCCTTGTGAAAGGCTGACACAGTATCTAAACTAAATGGATCTCTACTAAATAATTCAAACAATCAAGCAAAGTTATAACAAGAGCACATTTTCATTGAGGTGGCGGATGGCAGAGCGCTACTAGGAATACCGTAAGACACCTGATTTATCTGGTCTCCGATTCTGGTTTCAACACGATCTAAACGACCACAGCAGGAAAGCATAGGGGACATGAGATGTGATAAACAACACAGGTGATTAAAGAGGAGAAATTGGTGTGTGGAGCTCAACGGAGAGTAGAGAAGTGGGAACAAACAAACAGGAAACCTTAGAAAATGCACTGAAAAGGTTAAGCAGATTTAGAATCACTTTTTTTCTGCAGCTATTTCCAGTAAGGCTGGCTGATAAAATACAAAAATTTTACATACAGTGGCCACATGAATCAATGCAAATATGCTCCTTTAAAATCAATCAGCCATATCACCAATTTGTCTGTGTTCCTATTAAAGAGGGAAAGGCATGCTTAACAATGTCATAAAATGATCCAATTATTATTTTACTTATGGTCTCAGAGCTCACACTCGCAAATCCCTTGTTATCTAGAACCAGCTGCTCTTGAATATTCCCAGATCCAGGTTTCATGTATAATTAATGTTGTTAGTGGCTGTAATACATATAGTATATTTTATATCGCATGGACACCAGTTTGGTCA